ACCATGTACTTTCTTCTTTCTTTCTTTTTTTAAAAAATTTTATCTTTTTTGTTGAAAGTTCCATGTACTTTCTTAGAGTTTCATTAAAACCTGCTTTTCCACAAGCACTGACAATCACAATACAACCAAATCTGGTACTTATTAAATTATATTTTTCGTTTGCATTGAATTGCTGACATTACAACAGATTGTCTTCTAATATTTTACATCATAAATATATAATATTTTGACTATATCATGGGTTACTATGCTCCTGTGGGCTGGCCTGAAGGCTGTTTTACATGACATATTTATATGAAACATCTTTAGGAGCATCTTTCCAAAATTTCAAAGAACTGACAAACTAATTGCTTGGCATCTTTCTAGGTCAAAAGTGCTTGCATAACAGCAATTTCATATGGTTCAACCCTGTAAGTCTTCAAATGCAATGTTGATAAAAACTGGATATAGCCACAATACTTCACTGGTCACTAATTATGGTGGGTTGTGAAACAATGGTTTAGGATGGCCAATGGAGTCCAAGAGCAACTGGGTCTTAACTTTTGCTAAATTTTGCAAGTAAGAACCATTTGTTCACTGTAGCAAGGTACCTGACAATGGCACTTTCCAGGCTTGCCTACCACCAGTGGCCAGTGTTCACCTTTGTTCTATGCCATTCCCAGGAGCTCTTGTTCCACCCTTTCCAATAGGCTTGGATCTGACCTTTCCCTATTGTTCTGGGAACCTACTTACAGATTGGGACAAAAGACATTAGACACTTAAAAAAAACTAGTATCACTCTCTCTGGGTCTGATTAAATGTATCCCTTCATCCAATACCCTACATCCATATTATTGTTATTTGTTCACTAATCTTCAAAAAATATAAGCACTATCAAGGAATAATTATGGAAAAATGACATATAGGGACACAGTTGTCATTTCTTTACTGGTAAAACACCCCTACTGCCCGTAGAGACTTACACCAACTATTTGCACCCTACTACTACCACCACCGTTAGAATAAAGAGGAAACTAATACTGTGCTTTATAAATTGACTCTTTATTCTGTACCCCATATCTGATTTTAAAAATTCTTTTAAACAATGAAAATATGAGAGCAAAATAAAGAGCAAAATAACTCAGTAAGTAACAACTAGAAACTATTCACTCATTCATTTAAGCCAAAATTCCAAATCGAGACTGGTATTCTTAGTAATAAATTTAATTTTGTCATAAATGATGAATGGGTCTCTTCTAGGACATTCTTTATCTGCTTATGTTTCCTGAATCCTTACATGATATCTTACATAGAGTGGACATTAAAAAAATTCTGAGGCAGGAAGGAAGGAAAGAGCAAAGGAAGGATAGTAGGAAAGAAGGAAAGAAAACTTCCATACATTTGCTTATGTAATTGAGATAACTAGGTATGTGACATTTTTATGAAGGAAAACAAGATGTAAAATGGGAAATAACATACTATATTAAGGAGCTCCATGAATTTGAATCAAGGACTGGGGATTTGGACCCTAAGGAATTTTTTACTATTTTTGGTTCTTAACCTGTGTTCTCTCCTTGTCCAGTAATGATAAATGTGCATATTTCATTTGGTGATATTCACATTTGAAATCTGATCATGTATCATTATAAATTCAAGAACTCACAGCATTCTTTTATACAGTGAGATTTTGTATTGGTTAGTCCTTATGAAAAGCATGGAAGAGAAAACTACACCCCCCCCAAAAAAAGTTTTATATTTACAATACTTCTGTGAAACAAGTACAGATATCACCATCCCAGCTAATTTTTCTGTAGTGACTTGATTTTCAGACACTTCCGTGTTTCTGTTTTCATTGTAGTTTTTGCTAAGGACTTGGGGACTTGAATGACAGTTGTATTTCCAATTGCTTTACAACATTTTATTTCCAGTACATATCACCTCACAATGTGTTCCCTTGTGGCACATAACAGGATCATTAAATTAAAAATGGAAGGTATAGTCGCTGATTGCTGCTCTCTAATTACCCAGAGTGTTTGTCAAAGGCAGGAGGCAGGACACATAAACTCCATTTTGCTGTTATCCTGACTGTCGGGTTTACAGCACATCTCTGCTAGCACAGAAGACTTCCCCGGCAAGTATATTTAGTGGAACAGGCCTTTGCAGCTGGAATAAATCTCCCTTGGCATCAGAATAAACAGACAGTGAAGAAAATGACCTAGTGATCAAATTGGTTTATTTATGCCTTAAAAATAAGACGCCTATCTAGAATCAGTGTTTCTCAAGCATTTTTCCCATTATTGAGACTTTTTATACATATTTTCCTAATAGCTCACCCATGACATTTTCATACCATAGATATACTTTGTATCTGTTTATGTCCTGTGGCCCTTTAGAGGACTATAAACCATTATAACATCTAAACTTTTTTCTCTCCACCAAGAAAATTTCCATCCTCTTGACAATACATGTCTTGGATCATGCTTGCTAGTACACACTGATTGAATTCAGATGATGTTTTGTCAGTTCTATGTGCAAAGCTACACTATTCAGGAGTATACAACTCAAGAGGATATAGGGTAGAAGATGATTCTTTAGTAAATGATATATTGTCAACCAAGAGATGAAATCTCATTCCTCTCCTAAAAATAAGGAAGCTCTAATAATATTAAAGAGCATATGGTTCCCAAGTAAAAATGATGTCCATGTCAAAAATCTTGCACTCACAAATTCAAACTCCTCCACATACAGAAAGAGGGGCAGACTTTGCTCTCAGAAGGACTAAGACTATGAGCTTGCAATAGCCACCATTTCACATCTTGTCTATTAGCACATATTTATTGAGCTCTGACTTTGCAGACTTTTAGCTTTATGAGCGCAGGGATTATGGTCGATTTTGCTCACCATTGTAGAATAAAAAAAAAAGGAAGGGACGAAGATAAGGCAGTATGCTAACTGACTTGAAGACTGCCTCTAAGAATATTATATTTAAGACAGATATGTAAACAAATGAATGAGATATAATCATTATAATTAAAAAGTTGTATAGATATGGTGAGGTTACAAAACAGTGATTAATTCCATCTGATGAGAGGTGGGAGCAAACTGAAGTGGGTTATGAAAATGTTTAGAGAGACAAGGCTATATTAGGACTTCTGCGCACCCTAGGGCACACTTGGTTTGTGGTCTCCTTCTTCCATGAAACATATTTAAATATAATTATAGTACAACAAGATGCGCATAATTATCTGAGCATTCTAGAAGGTCCAGCAAAGACCTCCAGGAAGGCAAGATGTTTAAATGAGGGAGACCCTAAAGATAAGCTGGAAGAGTGGCAGAGAGATAGGGAAGACTGTTTTAGATAGAGGGAACAACTTGTTCAAAGGCCTAGAAGTGAGGGAACTATTATGATTGGTGAAAGAAAGACAAAGAAACAGAATGGGGAGAAGGGGTGAGAGATAAAGTTGAGAGGAAAGTGAAGGTCAAACCACAGTTAACCCTGTATTAAGAAGTCTGGCTTTACCTAAAGACAATAAGAAGCCATTTAGTGAGGGTACAATACAATATACAGATGTCAAATTCTAAAGATGTACAACTGAAAATTATATGATGTCATTATCAACCAATGTTGCCTCCAATAAATATAATTTTAAAAATAAATAAACATAAAGGCTTCTATGATAGGAACCAACAGGATTAGGTTTGCATTTTGGATATTCATTCAAGCTATACTGTAGCCACTGGACTGGAAAGGGTGTGGTGGCTATTCTGGGGATCCACAGCCCCCTTCTTCAGGGCCCATGTACCCATCCCCAGTTTCTGGAAATGTTGGTTTTTGAAGGCTCACACCTGAGTCCTTCAATGGGAATTGCCCCCAGGCACAGGGAACTATCTTTCCCAAGAGCAGACCCTCTCCCAGATAGCACCCATGGCCACAGCCGGCTAATGAGATACAAAGGTCCAACCATGTCATCTCAATCAGGGACAACCTCAGCTCCTAAGTTCCCTGAAGGAGTGGCTGAGGCCTCTGTTGTAACCATGTTGCTGGTTACTTCTTCCTCTGCCTAAGCCCTATTTTATTAGTTCCTATTGCTGCACAACACATTACCACAAACTTGGTGGCTTAAAAAACACACATTTATCATCTCACAATGCTCATGGGTCAGGAGTCTGGGCACAGCTTAACTGGGTCCTCTGCTGAGGCTGCAAGCAAAGTGTTGGCCAGACTGCATTCTTATTTGGAGACTTGATTCCAGTTGTTGGCAGAATCCATTTCCTTGTATCTGTAGGACTGAGGACGCCAGCTTCTTGCTGGCTGTTGATCAGAGGCACCTTCAATGCCAACAGGCCACCAGCCATTCCTAGAGGCTGCTCACAGTTTCTTTCATATGGGCTTTCCCAACATGGCCACTTACTTAAGCCATCAAGGAGAGTCTCTAGAACAAGTCTGCTAGCAATACAGACTCAGACATAATATAAAGTAATTGCAGGAGCGATGGCTCATCACCTTTGCTGTATTCTGTTCATAAGAAGCAAGTCACAGGTCCGATCCTCACTCAAGGAGTGTAGATTGCGGGAAGGTGTAAACATCAGGAGGTGGCAGATACCTCAGTCTATCCGCCATGCTTGCCTTCCTCACTCCTTACAGGTATATTTCCTGAGAGCAGGCCTCAATAAACCTCCTGCATGCAACTATCCATCTTAGAGTTGATATCCTGACAGCAATACTGGAGGCAGGGAAGCGAGCTAGAGACTGTTGCTGTAACATCAACTATGGGTGATAGCAGTGGGAGACTGAGCAGCAAACTTTCTTTGTATTAATAAATGTATAATAATTATTATTATAATTTAGAGTGACACATGGCCTATCTGAAAGGAAAACCAATCCTAAAAATTATAAGGTGTCTTCAAGCAAGGATACGTACAACAAAAATAATTCATTTCTAAGTCAGATTAAATATAACTAATAAAAATTACGCTTACTACATTTCACAGTGTGAAAATAAACCTCAGACCACAATCGGTCGCATAATCAAAAAGAGATAATTATCACTTTATTAAATTAGCATAGATTGTATTTTTACAAATTGGAGAAATAGTCAACAAATAGAGCTGCGCTGAGACTGATAGAAAATACATAAGCAACTGTTGGTATGATAACAGGATCAAATTCCACGTCGTTTACCAATACTCCCATTTTTATCCATCCCATTTACAATAATTACTTCTTACTTACTTAGTCATACACAGAGTGATATAAACAATATTCATAATTATTTCCACACCATATTATAGGTATACTCCACTGGAAAAGTATTTTTCCTTAGGTCTTCAGAGTGTAAAATATATTTAGTGGTCTGGCCTTTTTTCTGGGGATGCTTAAATACTGATGGATTTTTAAATCAATAATTACAAACACCATATGACTACACTTAAACACTGTGTTGTCAGGGAAATATTTTAGAATATTTGTAGTAGTCAACAGTGTATGATTCCAATGGTCCTCACAGGTATAACTGATTGTCCTTCACTTTCATGAACATCCAAAATTTCTTGCAAAAGAAGAATGGTGAAACAAAATGTGTAATCAGCCATTGATAATTTGTGGTGCTCAAACAGTTGCAGAGAAATCTGTGTTGAGTTTCTGGGGAAGCAAAACAGCAGCCCTTCAGAGAGGCGTGAGCCGCTCATCCTCTGTCATGAAGGTGTCATTAATGTGCCACCCCTTTGTGTCCAGGGGGTCACAGGGGATGCCATTTTCAACTGTGATGGTGTTTTCACACTTATCTTCAGTGTCATCCACTTCAGATGGTTCTTTGTTCTTCCTAAATGCACAGAAAAAGAATGATTGGGATCTTGGAGGAGAAAGCATTCTTTTGCACAAACGGGGAGAGCAGGAAAGAGGAAACTTAGAATGATGAGCAATTGATGCCTGTGAATTTTCAAGTAAGTTTCAAAGATCATAAAGAACTGATGCAGTGCAAAGATGCTATCAAGGTAAGTTTGCATGGATGATATATTCGTATTGATCAAAATGAGTGCTTACCTGGAATACTAAAATAAACATATATGAACATGTATGTGAATGAATGTTTAAGTATACTTATATGAATGAATGTTTGTATATACACATAAACATTAACACATACAAACTGTGTGAAGGAATATGAGGAAAAAGTATGGTAAATTGGCAAGTTAAACATTTGGCTCTAGGAGATAGGAGCCCAAAGTAGGTCTTGAATGAGATCCATGAAAAGAG